CCCCGCTCGAGCCAGCAAGCCATCCCCTGGAGCAGAACAAGGCCCCCTGGACACGCTTGCGGAATCAAGTACCGAAAAGACAACAGCATCCCCTGCGCTTTTGGTTGAGTTGCGTTGATGGCCACATTTGGAAGCATCATCAAGCCAGACCTGCCAGGAACAGGTTAAGCACACCAGCAAAAGGAAAGAGGCGTGAAATCACACGGCCAAACTTGGTTAATGTACAGGCCAGGATGCCGAGAAACACGAGAACGAAACAGATGGGCACATGGGGACATTGGGCCCCCCGATCTCGTCCCAGACTGTCCCAGAGGCGTCTCGACTCCATCCTGGAAGAGACCCATCATCCTGTTCGGGCAGGCTGTAAGTTCTGGCTCACAAACATCAGCAAGATTAGAGAAGGGGAGAACACATGCGTCTGCTGTGCGTCGTGCAGCTGTACAGCTAATCTATTCGGCTGTGGAGAGCAGCAAGCAACGTAACTTGCACGGAAGCGACATGGTTGTGGTATCATCCGCCTGCTGGTCCTGATTATGACCGCTTCTATTCTTCCGAGAGCCAGGGACAGTGTGTTCGGAGGTGTGGAAGGGGGCAACCAAGCACGAGAGGGAACACGCGAGCGAGATGCATCTGACATCTTGGTCGGTCGGGTTTTCGGCATGGATATTTACATGCCAGTGACCGACATATGCTCGACTTCCTTACATGGTTGACGGCGACAACGAAGGGAAAACACATGCAAAGTTCGGTATGTATACAGATTAAAACTGCTACCTCGAAGGAAAGCGGCGAGAGACGATTCGTTGTCATGTTTCCCCAGATGGGTTGTGGAAATTCCTTTTCTGGTCAGTACAGGGACCCGAAAAGGGGGCAGCATGAGGTGTTTGGAACCGATCCGCCTACAAGGCATCATCGGTCGAACAAGACACCGAACCTGCTCCGCACTCGGATAGGAGGGGGGGGGCGGGTGGGGAGAGGTGATGGGAATGCTTGACCAGCAGAAGCAGTGCGTTGACAAAGGGACTTGGGGTGCCTATCTACATGGGCGATGCTCTTTCTGTATCGATGCCTTTCTGGCCACTCACCATCCTCCACTCTCGCCTCTGGCAGGCAAGGAGAACAGCTATCACTCATTCTTGTAGCTGTGTGACGGACTGACTCAACAGAAACAGAGTACAGTTGAGAGATAAACAGCAAACCGACAGCGTATGCGACTAGCTGAACCCCCCCGTTTTTTTGGTTTCCCATGCCTCCCCTTCCCGTCTCGACACTTCCTGCAAAGCTTGCATGTTTAACAGACCGGAACCGACGCTCTCCATATGGCAAAGGGTCCTCCGAGCGTGTAGGGGGCGGCGACGGCAGCAACGGGGCTACCTACCTACCTACCTTGATACCGGCAAACACGACTACCACTACTACTCCGGACAAGAAAGTTTATGACCCCAACTCTCGCTGCAACTCGGATTAATTAACTACTACTATAACTAAACTCGGGTGGTGGCTAGTCCTTTTCCACGATGCAGATAGGGATCACGGTGCGCTTCTTTTCCCACCGCGAAGGTATCATGGTAGCAATATGCATTTCTCCCACGTAACAAAAGGGCGAAGAAAGTGGTAGCCGACCCTGAATGACTGACCTACCCGCCGCCGCCGTCGTCGTAGCAGTCTGGTCTGGCTTGTAGCTAGTGTGCTACTACTAGGCCCGCCCAGATCGGTACGACCACCACTGGGGGGGCGTGGTAAAGAAAAAGGGGGGAGTGTGTGTGAAGAGGAAAGGAATGGGTAGGTAGGAAGT